CATACATTTTAACAGACTATAACTAAATTCTCCCCTCTTTAAATTTCCTGCCCATAAGTACAGCCTAGCCCCAACCCTCCAAGGACTGTTACAATTTGCATGTTCCAAATAGCAACAACTCTTTTATTCTTAAATAAATTCGTCTTTTTGACCATTTTGAACTTGACTTGGTTTACCTTTTTATTGAGGTTGACATTAGGATTATACTGTACATACTGTCTGTTCTATTTTTAAAAGTTTAGCAATTTGTATTTTTATCTTTCCTTGACAAGAAATGTAATTCCACTGTTTGGATTACCTAGGGCACTTACCTAGGTCTCCTGGTTCTATCCCTGGTTGAGGCATGTACAGGAGGCAAGGCAACCGATTGAGATCTCTCTCTCTCTCTCTCTCTCTCTCTCTCTCTCTCTCTCTCTCTCTCTCTCCCTTTTCCTCTCTCTCAAATCAATGAACAAACAAACATATCCTTGCATGAGGATTAAAAATAAGTGCTTCTTAATAAACTTTTTGTTACTTCCATTTGTACTATTCTCTGAATTTTCTTATACTTAAAATTTAAAAGAAGAGAAAAAAGTGTTTCACCTTTATACGAACTTCATGAGCCTTAGGGGGTGCTACCTCCACCTCCTCAATGGAAAAGGGTTTCTTTATCTCCCATAGCACAGCTGCTTTGCATTTTATTACCTGGAAATTGAACAGAAAGATGACACAAGTGCTTACCCACTCTTTAAGTCAAGGATTATGACTTTCATCTTTTTATGTGCAACATTTAGCCCCCTGTCTGAAATCTGATAAATGTTATATAGAAAAGGACAACTTCTGATTTGCAAAAAGAATGGAAATACCTTTTTAAAATGTGTAAAGTAATAACATAAGAAAATAGAAATAGAACTAACTATAATGAGACATTGAGATGAAATGTAATATGTTCTTTTAGGTCATCCTTATATTGTTTCTTTTTCCAAGGGTTGTTTATTTGTGATATTTCCCAATGCAGTCCTGAAATTGGTTGTTTGCCCACAACTGTTGGCTTGCAATGAAGCTTTAAATCACAAATATTTCACTGGTAGGATCACTGTCTGGTCACATAAAATCTATTGCTCTCTTGCTCAAGTCTCTGCTTAAGCCCCAAACAACCGGACTTTATGATTCCAGTGCATACTTGCCTCCCTGCATAGGTGACTTCTCTTTCTCCTTGCCTGTCCTCCTCCTCCGATTTCTCTCCCCACTACTTCCGTGTGCTACTAGTTTGCATGACTCATTTGAAAGTGAGCTTTGGCAGCTCGGTTTTCTTCTCTAATTTATGTGTTAGAGGTGAGCCAAAAATCACAGAGGTTACAGCTGTACAAACACACACACACACACTCACACACAAACACACATACTCTTACCGACATACACACATATATATATTTTTAAATGGGTTAACTGTGTTTGACTTTTTAATGCAGCATAGTTTACCCATAGATGTTCTTCAAAATTAAAGTTGAACACATATTTTTAGTACTTGAGAATGTAATACAGTATAAAACCTGTCTTTATTGTTACAAGCTTATAAATTTGAGATTTTTTTCTAGATAGAAAATTATGTAATAATTTTGATTATGAATTTTAAATTCACAATTGTAAATATAATTTTGAAAGGTCAATTGAAATGTATGCTTTTGCAAATTAATTTTCATTATTTATATGTCAAATTCTCCCACTTTGCCGAGTGTTTGTCATGATCAATATCACAATAAATATGAGAGTGCTTAGAAATAATACACTAATAGTACATAGCTTCTGATTATCAAGTGTTCATTTAATGGGCAGGCACATTGTGGCCAATGCTGAATGAATTACATACTTGATCTCTAAAGCCCACAGGGCAGTATTATTAAGCTATTGGTCTATTTTACAATGGCAAATTTGAGGCTCATTTGACTTAGCAACTGACTAATTTTTGCAAAGTCAGAAAGTTTGCTGTCCAGAGAATTAAGATCAATCCAACTTTATCTTTTCACCAACCTATGGTAGTAAAAGATTAACCAAAGTTTAAATAACAACAACATCAGTAGCAGTTACTAACATTTATTGAATTATTTCTATGTACCAGGCCCTATCCTAAGTGCTAAGGAGTATTAATTTATTACATTCTCACAACTATCTTATGAAGTAGGTGTTATTATGATTGCTGTTTTGCATTTGAGAAAAATACAATGCAGAAAGAATAAACAGGTGAAGTGTTACCACAAAGCTGAAAACTATGGATGTTGCCTGAGAGGGGAAAGAACTAATTGCTTAACATTTACTGTTTTCATGAATAGATTCGGTTTACCCATTTGCTCTCTGAACTCATTATTTCTTGCAAGCTGAGTTTTGACAAATTTATTTTTAATTTTTCCTAACTTTTCTTCATTTGGAATGTAATTCGCCATCATAATGGCTAATCAGTAACAAATGAAAATAAAGAGAGTTGAAATGAAAAAACTGACAATTGGCTCCCTTGAGATTTCCAACAAATCATATTGATATATAGGCCTTTTGTATAACACAGGGTGTGTATAAATCTCAGAAACTTTCAATTGTGTTATCATAGCAAAATATTAGAGTGTGTGTTCCACTCCTAATACAACAAAAGTACTGGACACTTTTTGGGACTGAGCAGTTAAACAATGTGAATTGATTATACTGAATGGTCACATTCAATATAATCAAGTGCATTTCTCTGCACTTGTAAGCACACTGAAGAGGTAGAGAGATCTATGGAAGACCTAGAACCAAATATCCCTGTTCCTACTACTAATAAGTGACTCAAACTATATCAGTATTAATTTTTTATAAAATCATGTTGACTTTTGTATGGAGAAGATATTTTTCTATAAGATTTCTGTGGAAATTTTCTGCATTGAGCCGTCATAGGACCCTTTAAAATTAGAATTTGCATGTTGATGTTGGCTTGCTTATCCTTGATGATTCTAATGCTTTGAGATCAATAAAACTTATGTCAGACTTAACTTTCCTCCTGTGTTCATCAAAACAAAAATATGATTACAAAACAATAACGTTTAAGTTATGGCTTCTTAATACAAAGTTAAATTATTGATTAAAAATATTTCTAACTTCAGATTTTCAAGTTATGCATGATTGCCTGTAACTACTGCCCATTTATTTAATATACAAAATAAAGACTTTAATAGGTACAGAAGCTATATATTCTTTTAAAGATATTTTAGCAACAATCTATTTAAATTCTGGTTCAATATACATTGCATAACAAAGCATATATTTTATTTTATGTTTCAGTTTATATGGTTTTTAATTTAGATATAACTTTTAAATTATTCATTAAATATTGTTTCTCTTTGTGAATTATATGAGAATATATTTTAAAAAGTTAAAAAAAAATGCTTACTTTTCCTGCTGTGCTCATGTTTCTGTTCTCCCTGCAGGCCAGGAGGCGGATGGATTCTGGCAGACCTTTTCCTGCTCGATTACATGAAACAGATATGTTGCACAGATATTTTATTTGCTTGAGCAACATCCAGGTCCACGCATGTGATCTGCTGTCTTTAAGCCACACCCACAAGTTTATTCTCAAACCATACCAAATCAGAGAGAAATGGGCCAGCCCTCAGAACTGGACTTTGTAATATGCCAATTACAGGTCAGAGGTTGCTTGCGTTAGTTAAATATTTGTCTCCTCGTAAATTTAATCTCTCTCCCACTTTTTTTCTGGATTCCACTTTTATTCTCTCTCAGTGCCCTATTTCCCATTTGTGTGCACTAAGCTGCAACTTCTAATCCTCGTGCTGCAGTTAGAAAGAAGGAGCAGTAAGGAAGCAGCACAAATGACATAGGACAGAGAGAAGTACAAGCCAGAGGAATGTGTTTGCCCCAGCACCCTCCTCCTCTTCATAGCAGAGAGGTCAGACACCAGTCAGTCACAGAAAGGGTGCTCATGACCCTGGCGTTTCTGCTCTACTCAATACCTAGCAGCACTGCCTGAGCACCTCCCTGTTCCAGGCATTCAGCTGGGTGCACTGGGGTGGCAAGGAGGGATAAGAGATGGCCTCTACCTCTGCCTAGAGGCAGTATGGGGTCATGCTTATGACATGGCCTTGGATTCCAGGCAGACCCTATCTTTACTAGCTGCGTGAATTTGCCCTTATTTGTAAAATAATAGAATAATAGTACCATCTCAAAGCATTGTTTGTTAAACAAATGAGACAAGCCCTTTAAAACACTTACCAGGAAACCTGGCAGATAGGACAATCTTCAATAAATATTAGCTACAATGATTACCCATAAAAGAAACTCACAATCTATAGCAAAAAAAGACACAGGCAAACAAGTCAGACCATCGGGTTGTGCTATTTCAAAGGAGGGCATCTGACTGAAAGACCCAAAGGAGGCTTTGTAGAGAGAACATTTTAGTTAAAAACTAAATAATGATCTTTTTCGCAGAGTCAAAAAAGAAAAACACTCACCCTTGTGCAATTCTATTATCTTTTGGTTAGTGCCATGAATAAGAGAAAGAATATGAGTTTTATTTTTAATAAATCTCAAGTCTTATACCAACACTTGGGGAGCATACTGCATTCAACTACTTAATTATATATAGTCTGTCAACATGTATGCATTAGCATAAAGGGTACATTTCTCTAAAATTGTCAAGGGAATGACACTATTATCTGTTTTCAACTTTACATATATAAGTGTAGTCAGTCATATTGGGCTACACTACATCCACCCAGAAGAGAAGACACTGCTTGTACAGAATGGTCTCCACCTTGTTCTCCCTGCTGCTCGCCTTCACTTGTGCAGAGCAGGATGAAGAACGGAGTCTGACCACTTTTCAGAGTTTCTGGGAGGCATCAAGGAGCTCATATACCCCAATCAATTTAGAAAGATTCATTGGACTTAACATGAGTTTATAGAGTGATGGTGGGATAAGTATTAGGAATAATTTGAATTCAATTTATGTTAGTCCATTTAGGCTGCTGTTAAAAAGATCAGTTTAACAGCAAACTAGTTTAAACAGTTTATTTCTGGTAGTTTTGGAGACTGGGAAGTCTAACATCTAGGTAAAGGTGGATTTGATGTCTCGTGAGAGCCCAACTCCTGGTGTATGGACAACCATCCTCTGTGTTGTCACATGGTAGGAAGGGCAAGGGAGTTCTCTGGAGTCTCTTTGTATAAAGGCATTACTCCAATTTATGAGGGCCCCAGCCTGTGATCTAATCGCCTCTCAAAGGCTCCACCTCCAAATACCATGACATTAGGGATTAGGTTTCAACATATGAATTTGGGGGAGGACACAACACTCAATCTATAGCAGGTGTCCAACTGGTTCAGGTGTCCAGCCATGAAACAATCAATTAAAACCATACAGTTGAGATCATGCAGCTGTAGAGAGCTCCACAATTTCCAATGGTATCACGAAGCTGACAAGTGACAGTGGCAGAATCCTTAACCACATCTGTCTAATCAGTAACCCATATATTTCCACTACTCTACAAATATAGAACAAGGCATAACAGAGTTGGAGTAAGACATTCTGCTATCTATCCAAAAAGCCCCCACCATTTTAGAAGCGTCAGAAAGAACACTCCTGGCAAGGAACTCCAAAATTATCCATTCCAAATTTCTTGTTTTATAGGCCAAATGTCATGGCAAAGCAATGTGGCTAATATTTACTTAAAAGATACTTGGAGCCAAAACCGATTTGGCTCAGTAGATAGAGCGTCGGCCTGCGGACTGAAAGGTCCCAGGTTCGATTCCGGTCAAGGGCATGTACCTGGGTTGCGGGCACACCCCCGGTGGGGGATGTGCAGGAGGCAGCTGATCGATGTTTCTCTCTCATCGATGTTTCTAACTCTCTATCCCTCTCCCTTCCTCTCTGTAAAAAATCAATAAAATATATTTAAAAATAAAAATTAAAAAAAATAAATGAAAGATACTTGGAAAAGAAAAAGATGTAACTCTTCTCATGGGTGCATAAATAATCTAATAGCTTTTGAATATCATGGGGTTGAGGCAGGGTGAGGAGAGAGGTTAATAGTAGCCAAACATTTAAGTTGCTAAGTCAATATGTTTGATCTACCCAAATCCAACACCATAAATTGTTCTTGGCAGGTTTTTTTTCTGAGCACCAAACTGAAATCATCTGAATGCTTAAGTGAAATATTATGGGTCAGCTTGATGAAGAGGTATGCAAATGATCATTTTTGTGATGCTGCAGAAATAAAAATATTGTATAATGATTGTAAAGTAATGCAAATGACATGAACTCCACTGTGTTAGTAATATAGAAATATGTACCAGGGAAGGATGAATGGACAGAAAAGTGGTTCTCACAGGCTGATCTGATCAGACATTCATATCTGGGCAGGTGGTGGTGAACAGTTATGCCCAGGCATATAACTCCTTTAGTAAAAGAACTATCTTTGCCTTAAGCAAGCCTTGTCCATTGTTTCCGTGCATCTGAGTTAACACACCTTTGAAATGCGTCTTTTAAGGCACCTCTTTCTAAAGTGTGACACCCTCAAGAGAACATATAATCTTAGTTACTATCTCGTCCTTCAGTCCATTCCTTGCTGAATGTGATGTTCCTTACGTTTTCTTCTCTTTTTAAAAAATATGTTTTTATTGATTCAGACAGGAAGGAAGAGAGACAGAGAGATAGAAAGAGAGAGAGAAGCATCAATGATGAGAGAGAATAATCGGTCGGATGCCTCCTGCACAACCCCCCACAACCGCCACTGGGGACCGAGCCCACCATGTGGGCATGTGACCTCCTGCTTCATGGGTCGATGCTCAGCCACTGAGCCACACAAGCTGAGCCTCACATTCTCTTAATTCCAAATGCATAAAGGAAGCTGCCAACTGCCATTTTTCAGAAGCATTTTTCTCAGTCTGTTGAGATCTTACTTCCAGGTATATCCTGTTTGACTTAAATAAATTATTACAAAAATTGCCTACAGGTTTGGGTATTCACACATCAACAGATTTTTAGGTAACCTTAAAATATTCTGAGTGGGCAGAAATGTGGAACAGACTGGTCACACATCCACATGTGGTGGTTAAGAATAGGGAGGAACACGTTGGCCACGGAGATCCCCACTGAAGAGTGAGGAGTTTCAGCTCCAAAACCTGCAGCTCCTGTGCTGAGAAGAGAAATCCCCACTGCAGCTGGCTGTGAAAATCAGCAGGGACTCACTCTTGGTGAGATGGAGGGCTGCTGTAAACCCAGGCATCCTCTTAAAGGGCCCATCAAAGCCTCACTTGCTCACAACACTTATTCTAAGCTCCAGAGAAGGGACAGCAACTCAAAGAGTCTCAGGGACATATGGGGAGAAACTGATTTCCTGACTTTAAGGTGAGGGCTGGAGGGGCAGCATTCTTAGAGACTAAAGTGCTGGCAGGTGCCATAGTTCCTTTGTTGACCCCTTTACCCCCATAGTCTGCAGGCAGGTGCCAAATCTGAGTCTTCATCAACTTGGCTAACACTGCTCTTACCCCACCCTGGTGATGCTCTGAGAGCCAGTATCATCTAATTCACACGCCTGGCCCAAAACCTATTTCAGAGGATAATCCACACAAACAGCTGGCCTTGGTCCATGCTAAGGGCTTTCTTAGTTTCTCAAAGGTCCACAAATCCAAAAATGCCTTCGGATGCCTTGTACTTCTTGCTAAGTGGTCCCAAGTTCAGCACTTGTGGCAGCTGGCCATAGTTCACAGCATAACATTTCCAGTTGTCCCTAGGTCCAGCACAGGAAGCTACCAACCACAGATCACTTTGTAGTTCCTATCACGCAGTCCTAGGTCAGACAAAGGCAGCAGCTTATCTTTGCCTGAACCAGAGCCTCTCTCAAGAATCCCCAGAACCAACACCCCTGGTGGCCAGCTTCAGACCACACCAGAGCACCACCCAATTAATGCTACTAATGACATACCCAAAGGGTGGACTTGGCAGGCACCACAGCCCCACCAAAGTGAATTCCACTCTGTGGGGTCAGTCCCCACACAACAGCTTGTCCACTGTAGTCATGGCCAGTCCTCACAGCCAGTCAGCCCAAGAGTCAATCCCACCAACTAATGTGCCAATAGCAATCAAGGCTCAACTGCAAGAAGAGAGTACACACAGTCACGCAAGGGGCACCCCGGAACACCTGGCTCAGTTGAACAGGGAGACTGTGCCACTCGACCTCACAGGATACATTCCGTATAAGGTGCCATGACTAGAGATGTAGTAGATCTACCTAATACATAAAAGCAAACACATGGAGGTAGTCAAAATGAGGACACAAAGACACGTGTCCCTAATAAAAGAACAGGATAAAGCTCCAGAAATAAAACTAAATGCAATGGGGGCAAGAAATCTACCAGATGAAGAGTTCAGAACACTGGTTTAGGAGTGAGAATAGATGATGAGTTTAGGAGAAGAATAGATGATGTCAGTGAGAACTTCAACAAAGAGATAGGAAACATGAAAAAGGAGATAGAGCCCGGCCAGTGTGC